CCTTTGGATAAAAAATGAGTAAATTCTATACGAGAATGAAAATATGTAGGCTAGATAGCATTTCTAGACTCAAACGATTTTCAAAATAATTCAAAATTTGGATTAGCCTCATTGTAATCTCTCGTCTAAGATTTCGGGTTAAGAATCCAGAAAATTTCAAAAAACACTTCAAAAGTTCATTCGAAGTGGTGGCATTATTGCCCCCTCCCCCTCTACCGAAGACAAATCCTTGGACCCCCAGTGGAGAAAACGTAGTTCCGTTTAAATAAATCGACAGATGAATACATGAAGAATCAAATCAATTATGGCGACTATTAACAAAATTAAATTATGCGCATGCAAATAGCAAATGACAGAGTAAGTAGTAGTAGAATACATCTTTAACTAAATGCATCAAGAAAATAGTAAGGACCCAAGAATCCTATGAATGAATAAAGGAGATAGATAAGATCAAAATTTTTCAACAAAATGATAAAATCAGTGTATCAGAAACAGACGCAGAAGACTGCGCGGTCTCGATAATTGAAAGTTTTTTTAAAACCTTTAAAAATAAGAAAATATTGCAGATGTTTACAAGACTGAATGACAGTTTGTAGATGTGAAATGTTCAAAGGTAAAACTAAACACCCACTAACTATTTCTCCAATCCCAGCAAAAGCACTATAATAAGCCGGCAAATAATTATAAGCAGTGAGCGATTCCGTGAAGAGAAATGTGGTCGGGTAGACGGCTATCCAGAATGCGGTGACAATACCAATATGGAAAAATAATGGTGTTAGCAACAAGATGTTTTGATTCGCGAATGAGGAGAACATGACTTCTGAAATTGGAGCTTTCCGTTCTTTTTCTGAGCTCAACTATGGAAAAAGCGTATTCTTACTCATTTCTGCCATAAAAGTCAGAACTCTTTCTGGCTTTCCACTTTCTATGCAGTCGTCAAGATCTTTCGAAGGCATCAAAGCAAATATGATATTCGAGCATATTGTAACAGCCATAAAGGCTCCATACATCATTCTTATATCATTGTCGGAGAATTCTCTCGCTTTTACGTCTTCAACATCGACAAGAGTCGAATTTGAATAATTCTCTCTTGTGGATCTTGCTGCATCATTGAAGTGTAGAATAAGAACCAAAAGTGCCGAA